GTTTCATAATACAGGCACGTAGCGACAGGGGAGGGGACAGGGGGGCCAGCCCCCCCCCCCACTTTTTTTACCAACATTACGTACCTTTACTATTGAAAATGTTCATTGAAAGGTTGGTTGACCCCCCACTTCTGACCACAATATAGTTATATCAAGGAAATGTAGTATTGTATGCAAACAATCGAAAGAAAGATGGCCTTGAAAAAAGTTGGCCAGTACCCCCCCCCACTACCCCACCCCCAGGAAATAGGATCTTCGAGTTTGGGCAATAAATATTTACCCCTTTTTTCTTGCTTGTCAACTTTTATAGGTAAGTAAAAAAAAAATTTCTGTGGTTGCCAACCCCCCCCCCCCCCCCACTTTCGAAAATTATGCTACGTGCCTGTAATAGAAACTATAGAAAAATAGAATTCTTTTTTATGTTTGGATAATTTTTTATCAACTTCAAATAATATTTAAATAAAACAATAAGATATTCAAAACGCATTTTCTGTTTAAAAGATATCTATTGTATAACCCATATTACATTTATCTTTATGACAAATCTCTTACCTTTATTCAGCTCCCTTTTACAATTTTCACCAAAACTTAAGTGATAATGTTAGATGATGGTTTTGTTTATATACAATTCCCATCGTTCTACTTAGTCAACCTTTGTATATATTTAAGGAGCATTTTTTTCTCCGGCAATTAGGTCAAACGATTTCATAAGCTGTCTAAACCAGACAGTTACTCTGTATATAATATAGGTATTCTTATTTGAACAATGGATATACAGTGTTGACATACGAATGGAAATAATTATACGTGAAAAGAAGAAAACACTTGTTGTGGCCTTCAACTCGACATTAAATTATATTGTCAATTAACAATGGTAATTTCAATTCTTAAGTCAAAACCATATATCCTGGTTAGCTCGAGATAAAAGATATCACATAGTCTGACACATTTGTTTCATTTTTGGATACTTTTCCTGAAAAAGACGTTAATAGTAATCTAACAACCAAGCTCTATGAAATACGTGATGACTTTGACTTTTCAATCGTTAACTCCCCTCATATATGCAGCAATATACCTTCATCACCTGCTTACGGAGTTTATATCTCTGAGTTGATTCGATACGCAAAGTCATGCTCAACGTATGTATAATTTCTAAAACACGTGAATATTTTCAATCAGAAACTCCGGCATCTTTAAATATGAGCTTCAGATAATTGTAAAATCAGAATGTCTTTTAAGAAGATAGTTTGCAAATGATCAAATTACAGGTTTAGTCAATTCATGATTTCCATTTTTATTGAAAAAGCAGTCGACAATGATATCAAGAAACCCCTTCTAATAATTTATTGCGGGGAATAGCGTATGGAGTTAAAAACTTGAACGTTATGAATTTATTAATTTTGGTACATTTTATCATTTGAAATTTTTAAAAGCTTCCTTGGAAATATCTACATATTATTTATACCACTACAGGAATGCATTGTTGTATAGTACTCCTTAACATTTACTCAACTGTACTTTCAAAGTTTATTTTTTCTAATTTTGTTTTTAAGGATTCTTGTAAAAAAATTCGGCATCAATTGAAGGAATGGTTATTTAAATTCATTTTGGTTTTGTGGAAAAATTAAAAAAAAAATTGAAATTGAAATATAATTTTGAATAGTTTTGATCCTTTGAATGGAAGCAAGAGGTATACACTGGAGAACTACTTATGAAATATCAATTAAATCTCCGTTCCTCTAAATACAATTATTACAATACAGTTAATGAGCCAACATCAAGGTCGAAAAGACATAAATGTAATGTCATTGTCATTAGTGAATATGTTGTCATTACTGATACATTTACATATAGGGTACTGATACATTCTATATATATTTATTGTCTTTACAAATGTACACATAAACCATTTGTTTGTTGTTAATATATCGTTTCATTTTTTATGATCAAAGGCACGGCAAAGTCCGTTTACAAAAACCCTGGCATTATGATGCACAGTTTATCACAAATTAAAAATTAGTAGGCGGCAATGTTCAAGTGACACTGTGGCAAATTTCGAGAGACGGCAGGAATTAAACTGTTATATACGAGGTCAAATAAACAGATGGCAAATTAATAAAACGCCACAATATCTCAATCAACCATCTATAATTCATGAACTTAGGCAGACAAACTTTAGGGAAAAGTTTCTACTGACATAATACTTCATCACGCTGTTTCTGAATCGACGACAGTAGGAAACTAGAGATCAAATTAAACTTTAATTCTAACATCAATCTCTCAACCAAGACCCTGTATAGTCTGGTTCCTGAGGCAACTACAAGAAATCTAAAAATGGTTTCAGGAGCACATTTGTAACTTAGCGCATTAACGGTACGATAGCTATTTGAATCTTTTATTTTAGGGTATACTATTAAACTAGAAAATAAAAATGTCACAGTGATTCGTATAAGACTTTAATGTTGGAAGTACAAAATCTGAAGCTGAAAGTATCTATTTTTAGGTTGGAATTAAATTTCAAAAACCCATACATAGTTGAAATTACTGGGGGTATAAAATGAAGATAATGTAGAAAAACGATTAGCAAAAATAGGAAGGGTTCCTTTAAAATATTATTCTCACGAACTTCTGGGCAAGAATGAGAAATTATACTTATGAAAGCTTCCTGAAATACATGTAATAAAGATTACTCTTTTTCAAATCAAAACCGGAATAGGTATTCAAAATTTAAAATAGGAAGATGTACCACCGCAAACAAAGTGATTGTGTATTTTGGGGATGGGGTGGGGATGGATGTGTTAGGAATAACATTGTCTGTTTCACTGTCCAGCTGTCCTTCTGCCTCTCAAGGTTTTCCCAGAAGGCCAGGCTTTAAATTTATGGAATATCTGGGAGCTCATACTACTCGATACAAAGATTTCCAATGGTCCTAGGGTGTGTCATGACATTGGTTCAAGGCAATATTACGGCAAATTCAAGGTCACTAGAGAAAGAGTTCATGTTTTGTCCGAGCCATTTATATAATGTAATCGAGAATATCTGGAAGCTCATACTTGATACAGAGATTTCTTGTGACAAAAAGGTTTTGTATTATTTTGACTCAGAAAATAGTATAAATTCAATCTCGCCTTTGATTAATTGCTCATGGTCCTCCGGTTTCAAATGACTAAAAATAATGCCATTTTAACAAATTCAGGGTCACTGACAGAAAAAGTTGTAAAATTCCTGTCAGGCTTATGAATTTCTAATCACTAAAAGTTGTTTGAGATTGAGGGTTTGTCTTGACACAGATCCAAGGTTATTCCGTAGAGATCAAGGTCACTGACACAAAAAATATTTTCTTTTTCACGCTACGAATTAATAAATAAAAATCATTGGAGGCTCGTACTTGAAACATAGATTATTTATAATTAGAAGTTGTGTCATGACCTTGATGAAGGCAAATCAAGGTCACTGACAGAGAGAAAAAATGTTCAAGCATAACTTTGTAAATAAGATTCACAAGAGGCTCATCCTGAGAATAGAGGTTGTTCTTATAAGAAAGTGAAGTGACCTTGACCCAAGGTCGGCACTTTCTGTCCACAGCTCCAAAGGAAGACCTATTTTAAAGTTGTTCAAAGAACTATATGCATATTGCACCCCCACAAAAGTCAAATTTTGAAAACTTCCTGAAATGTGCTGAATTCAATAAATTGTTATAAGTTTATTATAGTTCCAGAGCAGTGTATTCACAATTTCTGTTTTTATGACGTCACAAATTTCTAGTCCGATTTTATATTCTTTTTCCAAAATGGACAAAATTTCAACAATTTAAGCTTTTAAGTGTGTGTTCAGAACAATATTGTCATATTTCATTGATATTATCCAAAATTTTAATCTGGTAATTTAAAATATCGGAAAATGACATTTTTCTCAAAAAACTGAAAACATTCATTTAAAGACTTTTCTGTTCAAATTTAATTTTAAATATTACTCCATCAAAGTTTGATTTTGGGGGGCAAATGTTGGTTAATACCGCATATACTTCTTTAATTTTAAATACGACAGTTGTTCGAAAAGTTCCTTGACTACTATTATACCTTTTTTTAAACTAAACGTCATATCGTATCCAAAGTTGGTAGCAATGTTTAACAATAAATTCAACTGTAATGCATTAAGAATTTTTAAAATATCTTGAATCTATTTCAGATCTATTTGAATTTTAAAATGACGAAAATCAATCCGCAAAGCACGTCAAAACCTTCGTTCATAACGATGAATATTTCCAGGTTGTATGTGTTCCATTTTTTATTTACAAACTCGTATTTGTCCTTTCTTTGAAAATATAAAAACTAGACGTTCCATTAATTTATTTAACAAGGCTTCGGACAGGAGACCGGACTTGTACAAAATCATAACTGGTACGAACCAAACTAAGCAAGAGTTAAACAAGGTTACTGTATTTATAAATAGGTCCAGATGAATTTTATCGTTTAACATTAAATTTTTCATTTTCGCAATAAGTATCTGAACTTTGTAAATAAGCACAGGCTCCATTCCTAATGTTCATCATTCATTAATGACTCCAATGCTATGGCACACTTTATAAGTGCGTTTTTTGATATATACATTTTATATCTTATTATAGTTCATAATACAATATCGTCTAGGGATGTCCTTTATAAATAAATGTCACAGTATTAACTTTCATACTATTAAAATGAAACAACCAATACATAATTCAACGCTGAATGAGACAAAAAAAAAATACAAGCGAAGACAACAACATCCCCTTTCACTTCCCGTAAAAAATAACATTGAAATAACAAAAGGTGTAAAACTAGGAAACGATATCTTTTTATTCTGCAGGTATTCCCTTACTCACATATCATTAATACAACACTATTATGTTAATTCATTGAAAAGAATATATTCATGAATTGTTTTATTAAACATTTATTTAAATATTTATATTTTTAATACATTTCTTATTTATTTCATTGTATTAGTATACCGTAAAATGATTTTTTCCCGAGATTCCACTCCATGAGTTTAACAAGAATTCAGATATTTATAGCATGTGATTTTCCTTTCATTTTTCAGATAAAGCGAATGTATCTTCTTTTTGTCTCCTTCACATGTACTTGATATCCAAAGGAATATTAGCTGCTTTAACACTTGCATCAAATGCCTCGCTTTGGGCGACCTTCAGCCAATTTTTCCAATCTCCCGCTTCACCTGAAACCATTAATTACTGTTATAATTTCATGAAATACAAATACATGTTTAATCAATATATAGGCATAGAAAAGAATATTTATAAAAAGATGCTAATCTTTCTTTTTCTCGTGTAATCCAATCTTATTTTGTCCTGTTAAAATAAGCAACATAGATAAAATAGGTTTGATGAAAATCTTAAGGGATATTATATATTATATAAAACTTGCATATGCGTGATAAAAGAAGGCAGAAATGTATACCTTTTCTGTAGAGAACATGCTTATCATTCACATCTGTTACTTTCTTCATGTCTTCAGGGACATGATCGTTCTTAAACTTGGCCATTGCCTGGAATTGGCATTTTAGGGCGATCTCGTCCATTAGCTCTTCACTGGAATCCAATTCCAGAAACGTTGAAATTTTCTTAACGTAACCTCTTAAATCCTAAAATATAAGATTATGCACTCAAATTTAAAAAATCTTGATAAGAATAATAATAGATTACCTCAGTTTTTTTTAATTGATATATCTTTAGCCCCAGCAATTACGATTATCTTCAGAGGATTGGAAAGTCGATTCATTCATTATGACATAATACCAACAGTACCAGGGAGAGTGCACTTTTTTTTTTACATTTTACAAACCATTATATACTCTACTTACAATGTATGGTGATAATACAAAATATTAATGTGCATCACCTTTTTCATATCTTCGTAGCAGATGTTCAGTAGAGGGTACGATGGATTTTCTTCTGTGAAATTTGTCCATTCCTTTATGAACTTTGTCCAGGTCCCTCCAGGAACTGTTGAAATTTTAGATAAAAGACAATTAATCTTCTTGTTTATTAACATATGTATTCTTACAAAATAGAAACAAAACAGATAATGATGTCAAAATTTTCATTGAAAGTCGGAATCAGTGAATATGTCAATCTGATAAATAGATTTTCCTACGCATCTATATAACTTTAAAATTTTTTTTCTTACGTTGGCCGTTGAAAAACATTTCGAGGAAGACATCGAATGGCATGTCCTTCATAAGATCTCCGGCTTTTGTTTTCTTAATGAAATTGAACAGTGAAACGACGACGTCCTTTGGATTTCTGTAGATGTTGATAATTTTACACTGCTTTTTGATGAAGTCCTTTGGCATATGCCGTGGCATGAAATGGGATACATATACACCATCGGGCACCTGCTTAAGTTCTTCGACAGGAAACATTCCAAAAAGAGGAGGTACTCCTTTTTGAAAATCGGAAGTATTGTTGCGAAGCATTGAAACTATTTCATAGCACCAGTGTGTCCCTGTTGAAATGGGAAAAAAGATATATAAAAACATTATCAAAAATTATAATATTCATTTGCAAATTAAGAATGAAGGCAACTTCTTGACACATCGTGATAGAGAAATGAAGCACACCGAGGCATATTTTTTATAATGATATGTAAACCAAATCTTCTTTATTGTTTCTCTCACCAGATTTTGGGTAAGATACAATACAGATGTCGTTGTCTTTAAATTCCATTTCGTTAAGATTTTTAAGAGTATTGCTCACATCCCCGAAGACATTTGCAGGAAATAATTGTCCATCATATTCGATTACTCGCATAACCACCTTGCCACTGGGGTCCTTGATTTCTTTAAGACTCATCTTTAATGAAATATATAGTAAAGTAAATATGTGAAAAGAGGAATTTCATGTATTGAAAATATTTCATGAGTGTACAGATACTAGAATGTATGCCTTTAAATCAGCAATTTATATGAATTTTTCTACAAAAATGTCACATCCTGAACACACTAAAGAAACAAACTTCAAAATCAGAAAAATACCTTATAAAGTGGAAGGAGAACGCTTATGAATTTTGTATATTGGCGGAAAACATGGTTTTGAACATGCATTGCTTGCTTTTGAATTCTCCATAAACATTTCCTTAAGTTTTGGACGACTAGGAACGGTTTCATAATAGAAATGTCCACGTTTTTTCATGTTTGGATAAATTATTATCGACTTCAAATGATATTTAAATAAAAAGATAAGATATTCAAAACGCATTTTCTGTATACCTATATAACATTTATCAACACGACAAATCTCTTACCTTTACTCAGCTCTCTTTTACAATTTTCTCCAAAACCTAAGTGATAATGTTATAGAAGATGGGTTTTGTTTATATACAATTTCCATCGTTCTATTTTGTCAACCTTTGCATATATTTTAGGAGCATTTTTCCTCCGGCAATTCGGTCAAAGGATTTCATAAGCTATCAAAGTCACACAGTCACTCTGTATATAATATAAGTATTCTTATTTGAACAATGGAACCAAGAACGCCAAATATTTTTTTTTTGAACTGTTGAATATCCTACAATTTTTGTTCATACGAGATTGGTACATGTTAATTATAGTTTTCAAGTATTCCTAAGACATGCTTAATTCTCTAAAAACCAAATTCCCTACATTTTACAAAAAGAAATAATGATAAATGAATTGAAATTTTTATACAAAAATTATTGAGCTTTATAAATACTGAGGTGTCACGGTCTATTCATAATCACCCTTGTATCACTGTGTTCTGATTTATGTTTTTATCTGAGTGACGTTTAAGGGCACTGACCTTTTTCTCGTTTGACTTCGTCACAAAAATTTGAAACGGTCTATTTATTTACCTAGAGAAAGCTTTGCGTAAATATATTTTTTTTTTCTCCGTTTTTAAAAGCTCGACATAAAATATCTTTCAATACTGACAAGGAAATCATGACCTTGCTGTGCAGAACATTTTTATTTTATCAGTGAGCATGAAATATTTAGAATATGATCGATCATGACCGTTTGTTTTAATCATATCCTAATGCCAGGGTTCAAAATTTTTATAAAGTTAATATGAAACTTCAAGAAATTTGATCTTAAGCTAGTGAAAATATTTCAATGCTTAAATGATTAGACACAGAACATATAATAATTTTTTGATCAGATTTGTTTCTAATTTCCAATACATGAAAATGTAAAACTGTTACACTCTCGTTTTCCTACGCTTTAGTCCAGGGACGATGAAGCAACCTTCATATCAGCATTACACTGAATGTTTGCATAATAAAATGGTTTGAAATGGTTCGGTGAACCTTAGGGAATAAAATTAAAATACTTTTTCACGGCTATAATATTTTAATTTGTTCCCCATCCCAGCAGAATGAATCTTTTCAAAAAATTATTATGAAAAATGAATTAAATGTTGATTACTTTTCTCATTTCAAATGTATATACATGAAAAAATTAAAATAAGGGATTTTTCAAATTGATTGATATTTGTTTTGTATTATGTGTTTCTCTTTCAGCAAATCATGTAGAATGATTTTGCAAAAAAAGACTACAAAACCTCATTAGATGAACATGATGTATGAAAAACATATTATAATAAAAGTATCTTATCTCGCAGATTATTGGGTTGAACAGAATCCGTGTACAGGTTTCTTTGCTTCATAACAATTTTTTTTCGTCAAATTCATGGAATTACGAAGTCTCTTGTTGTGGCTTTCTATTATTATTTGTTTTATTTAGATAACATGCAATGTAATTAACATTTTCATCCCTATATTGATTTGATACATCTTTTTGAACTCAAAAACCATATTGTCTGGCACATCTGTTTCATATTTGATAGTTCACTAGAGAAAGCTGTTTAGTAACCTAACAACAAATTTTTATGATAAACATGATGACTGAAGCTTTTCTATTGTCGGATTTTCCTTTTTTTTGTAGCAATAAATATACCCAATCATCTGGCTTTGGTGTTTATGTCTACTAATTATTTTGATACACGAGAGCGTGTTTTACAAAAATTTTTTTAATGAAATTGTTTTTACACGATTCAAGCTACAGACAAATTACTGAAATAAGTTAATGAAACAGGGATGGTATCAGGCTCATTTAAAGTGACTTAGTCAGCATTTTGCAAATGCACATTTATGTTCAATGACATTTTCACAGCAAATACGAGCTATTACTCAGTATAATATTAACTAAGGTTTGTCAAACAAATATTTTTGGGTCATTAATTAAAGGTAATTTTACCTGACGTTTTCCTAACTTTTGACACGATTAATATTTACTGAATTGACTACGTATTTTTATTGCCCGCTTATGACAATGAGCTGTGACCCGTCGACAGGGGATGCCCACTCCTCCATGGTATCTTACCCAAACTCTGATGTTTTGAAGTTTGGTGTTTTCTCGGCTCCTTTTGTCTTGTTTAATGGACTTCTGAGCTTGAAAACTGTTCGTTATCAACAAATTAGGTAACAACATTGTCTTTGTTTGTAATGCTCATTATATAAATTGCATTTTAAAAGAACTTGGTTTTAATTCTACAAGTGGCAATCCTACTTATACTGATAGTTCCCTTTCTAAGGAAGAAATTCCTCAAAATCATATGTCAGTTTTGAATATTTTTAATATCATAAAGAATCAAAATGAATTTGAACAACCATGTATATATATATATATATTGGATTCCGAAACGTCATAAGAATCCTAACAAAAGAAGATACATAGCGGGTTCCAGTAATTGTTCAACCAAACCTCTTTGTTTACTCCCCACTAAGATATTAACAGTAGTAATGAGAAACTTCAAGAGAACTGTGCAACAATATATTCAAGAAGTGGTGTAAATCAGATGTGTATACTTCAAAATTCCAAAGAACTTTTGGACAATTTGAAATCACAATTTTTTTACCAAAATCAACAGCTGAAAGTATACGACTTTTCAACTTTATACACAAACATTCCCGACGATAAATTGAAGTCCAGGTTTTTCGATATCATTGCCAACTGCTTATTCCATAAAAATGGAACCCGAAAATTAACTTACCTTGTCATTGGTCATTTGCAAAATTATTTTGCTAAAAAAGACATTATGATTGTTCACACAAGTACTCTGAAGTCGACATCAAAATGATGCTTGAGTTTCTGATTGACGATATCTATGTTGTTTTTGGAGACCAGGTCTTCCAACAAGCTATAGGAATTCCCATTAGTACCAATTGCACCACGTTATTAGCAGACCTTTTTTTTAATTCATTTTAAGCAGAATTTGTGCAAAATCTTGTGCATGAAAAGAAGAAAACACTTGTTTTGGCCTTCAACTCGACATTCAGATATATCGACGACGTACTGTCAATTTACAATGGTAATGTCGATTCTTATGTCGATACGATATATCTTGCTGAACTTGAGATAAAAGATACCACAGTGTCTGACACATGTATCATATTTTAGATATTTTACTTGAAAAAGACGTTAATGGTAATCTAACAACCAAGCTCTATGATAAACATTATGACTTTAACTTTTCTATCGTCAACTTCCCTTACGTATGCAGCAATACACCTTCATCACCTGCATACGGAGTTTACATATCTCTATTGATTAGATACGCAAGAACATGCTCTACGTATGAACAATTTCTAAAACGAGCTAAATTATTGACAAACAAGTTAATGAAACAAGAATTTCAACAGTCTCGTTTAAAGTCATCATTTCGTAAGTTCTATGGTCGATAGAATAACCTTGTCAGCAAATAAAATTTATCATTGAGTCAAATGCTGGCGACGTTTTTCATACTAATTGTTGGTCCATTATTTATACACTGAATTGACGAGGGATTTTTCCGTTATTTACCAATCATGACAAGGAGCACATAGCGGGTGTGACCGGTCGGCAGGGGATGATGACTCATCGATGGCAACTGTTCCCACCTCTGATGTTTTAGAAGTCTGTGTTTCTCTGTTCCTATTTTGTATTGTTTTATGGACTTTTGATCGGGAATACTGTTAGTTATCTCCATATGTTACATTCAGCTCCATGTCTTTCTCATGTTTCCTTCGGGCCAAAATAAGAGCTAAATTGATTTTTTTTGAATTACTTTTTTACAAAAGGTAACGAAAACCCATATGCTTCATTTAGAGGAAAATGAGCTGCGTTTGATTCTACAATTGGTTATTCATCTCTCATATGCCCATAGCTCCCTTTCTAAGGGAGGAAATTCTCAAAATCATATGTCAGTTTTGATTTTTCTATTATTCCCACCACCAAGATAAATTTTAAATACCATTCCTATACTTGATTCAGAAACTTAATAAAATCATTACAGAGATAAATAACGGATTCTAGTAAATTTTCTACTACTCTTTCGTTCTCTTCCCTAAAGTATTACCAGAAGTAAAAAAGACACATAAGAATTAATCAACTTTAGAGTCATCATTTCGTTGTATGTTTTCCTACTTTTTTTAGAGGTTCTTAGTCAAAATAAATAAAATGATGGGTCTCATAGTTTTCACTTAAGAAAAATATAAATATTTGCTTCGATTATATGAAAAAAGTAAGATATTTTTCGGATCAGTTGCATAAAATTTTGCATTACTATAGTAATAGTGATTGTACAACATAACATTTTTATATCAAAATATCTGTGAATTTGTAATTTTCAGTTTGTACCTGAATAAACATGTACGAGGGCTGTTCAATATATAATGTCCTCGGTGCTCGGATGGAAGCAAAGGACGCTTTTCAGTGATTTAGTCTTATCGATTTAACTTAATATTCTCCTTTAATTAAAATACATGTCCATAACATTTTTTATCCAATTTCGGATTGTTTTTAGAACTCATTTTTGGGTATGACCCTTAGTATACTGGAAAATGGCAGATCCTATGATTTCCTTGACTTGTTTCTTCCTTCTGAAAGGTGTTTTTTCAAGTTTGGAAATAGAAACAAGTCAAAAGGTCAAAGATCTGGCGAATATTGTTAAAGTTAAAAAACATTAACTTTCTGTTTATCCCTAAACTCTTTTATTTTTCAGGGCGTGCGGGTTTGGACGCTGTCATGAATAAATTTAATGTTGTGGATTCCTTCCTCTGATAAACCTTTCGATTTTTGTTTTGCAAAAACTAAGCTTTCTAGACTTCTCCAGTTATTCAACTGTCTCCACGAATACGAATGTGAACAACAATACCACTAATATTTAAGAAAATTGCATATAAATCTGTCTTTGTGCTCTTGCAATTCTTTGCTCTTGTCAGACCTTCGCCATTTTTGTCAAGTACATCTTATGGTAAATTTTGTTTTAAGGGTTTTAAGCAATAGATTCAAATTTCATAATCTGTTTGAATATCAAACAAACGTG